AAATAAAATAAATAATATATATATATATATATATATATATATATATATATATATATATATATATATATATTCCTGCCTTGCAAAGCCAGCTGTAATGCCAAGTGTCTATGAGTTTTGAAAAGGAGACAATTTATTGCTCTTACTTAGTTTTACTATTAGTGTTGAAACTCACGCCATATTATCTATCATCCAACTGTAAAATTTTATTATTTTAACTATTAGTAATACATAGATTGGGTTATGCCTATCTAATAGAATTGTGAATGACTTTACATTTAATCGATTTTTCATTGCTAATTAAATCATAAATTAACTCGTGATAGAATTATTTTTGTTATTCTATATATTATAGACTATGCTGGAATCACTAAACGCAAGATGTTATATGTCTCTTATTGCATCAAATTTATTATGTTTGAGTAGTCGGATTGATTGTGTAAATATTTTTTAAAATGATTCCAACCTCCTTCCCCTATATATACGCACACATATATCATTTGGCCAATTAAACTACCACTATTTTTATTAAGTTCTATTCCTAAAATGAGTGCATCACCAATTGTGAATAATGAAGAAATGGAGAGAATTATAGAGCAACTGCCCAAAATTAATTATTTTTGGAATAATTATCAACTTTATCAGTGGGAAGGGTTTTGGTCCACTCTTATTATTTTAAAGGCAGCCATGGTCTTCAAGGCAACCTTCAAAACAAAACCTAATGATGTTCTCTTGGCATCTTCCATAAAAACAGGTTTATATTAATTAATCAATTAATTTGAGTTTGATTAATGAATTCATCAACCATTTTTGTGTTCTTGTGTGTGGCTGTGTATCATTTAAAAATTAGAATGTCTTATAGTTGTATATATCTCTTAGGTCTACCTTTCATCAACTATATATTTTCGTCACTTCAAAATTATAACTTTTTACATATCAATGGCAACAAAAACAAGATATTAACTAGTAAAAAAGAAGTACATATTTTCATTCTAATGTATAATGTTTATCTTACAGGTACAACATGGCTCAAGTCCATATGTATAGCCATCATGCAAGCTGGTAATAAAGAGGAAGAAGAAGACCTTTTAGTTAAGGATAATCCTCATTTTTATGTTACAACGATAGAGACCATGGATTATTATTCAAAAACTCTAACTGATGATCTATACACAATGCCCTCTCCAAGATTATTTCACACACATTTACCTTATAGGGTTTTGCCAGATTCAATCAAAAATTCGGATAATTGCAAGATTATATACATAACAAGAAATCCTAAAGATACCTTGATTTCTGTGTGGCATTTCTTCAATAATCGTAAGCGTTTAGAAGATCTCACTCCTTTAGAAGTAGTTGTGGAGAACTTTTGCAAAGGGGTTCATCTGTATGGACCCTTTTTTGAACATGTTCTTGAATATTGGGAAGAAAGCAAAAAAAATCCTCAAAAAATATTATTCTTAAAGTATGAAGACTTGAAGATAGACCCTAAGAAAGAGGTGGCAAAGATAGCCTTGTTTCTTGGAAAGCCTTTTGGTAATGAAGAGGATTTGGAGATAGTTTTGAACAAGTGTAGCTTGGAGAGGCTTAAGAATTTGGAGGTTAATAAGAGTGGATCACTCTTGTCTTCTATGTCTATCCACAATAGTGCATATTTTAGAAAAGGGATTGTTGGGGATTGGAAGAATTACATGAAACCTGAAATGGAAGAGCAAATTGACAAGATTACCAAATTGAAGCTTCAAGGGAGTGGCCTTGAACTTTGATACTTGTACCCAAGAAGTTTTTAAAACACACTTGAACTACTTGACGTGAATTATTAGTATCATTCTTGAATTATTGACGATTTTAAAAACGTCCATCTATTTGGCTAATTCAACTTAAGTACACCCTGATCTGCCACATAGCATAACAAGTAGTCTCAAAGTACTCTTGTACGAGCATGTGAGCTCTGAATAGAAAGTCGAGATAAGTGCTTAAAACACCCCTAAACTTGACGAGAATTAGGGGTGTATTTCACTTGTGTGGCAAGATTAGGATTAGGGTGTATTTAAGTTCAATTAGTCAAGTAGAATAGTGTTTGTATGGCTGTCAATAATTTAAAAATAAAACTAATAATTTACGCCAAATTTAAAAGTGTTTCTAGAATACTTCTCTCTTCTTATAATTACTACTTTAAATAAGGTTTTCTATTACTTCATCTGAATGAATAATAAGTCAAGGTTGTTGAAAATAATAAACTTAAATGTTTCTAAGCATCTTCATATGTCTTTAATTATTTTAAGTGCATATCTTTTATTAAGTATGAGTTTCAAAATATCTCTAATTACTAGTTGAAACCTATAAACATTTACCCTTTGTAATGTTGTTATCCACTCACAAAATTTAAATAAATTATGGAGTGAATGTTGATTGGGAAGTAATATATTGGAGCAAAACCAATTAATTTCCATTGATCATAAAGGTTAAAAAAAGAGTAAATATTACAACAATTATACATCACATCTAATCGAGTGGTATATATTAACTATATAAACCATCACTGACCATATTCTTCGTTAATAATTTACAAATATGAGGAAGAAATTTTCTCCAAAAAACACTAAAACTAAACAAAAAGAAAATTCAGTTTCATAGACCGCCTCTAAAATCTAAATAATGTAGAATGTCTAATGTCAAAGTCATTAACAAACTCTAAAGGCCTAAAAGTTTCATTTCTTATTCTTTTCACATTAGGACTTGACAAACCTCTATGTTTAAATCCATACAATTTAAGCACTTGATTATCTGCAAAATTAAAAGCTCTTTCCATACTTTTCAAACACTTTTCAACTGGATAATCCCCATAGCTTCCACAAGGTTTACAACCAACAAAATGTGTCACAAATGGCCATCTCTCATCTCCGAAACCTGGATGATATTTTTGAATCATTTCTTCGTATCGATCCACTAAACCAGCCCAATAACCATGTAAATAATACGAATTTTCAACAAACACCTTCTCCATCCACTTATTATTCCTCAATATTAACATGTATATCAATGCTGATTGATCGTCCGCTTCAAAATTAGGTCTACCTTTTAAATTTGCTGATAAAATTTTACCAGCATCGTCGCGAATTTTACCTTTTGGTCCCATTGGTGCCCAAGAATCAAGCAAATCTAAAGACCATTGACAATTTCTTAAAAGAAAACTTCCTGTGTTCAAAGCAACCCACGATTTTTCATTTAATAATTCAGGATATCCATGAATAATCAAATTTTTTTCACTGTATTTAGATAATGGAATTTCAAATACCATATCTGTAAACATTGCATCACTATCCATCCACCATATCCACTCAATTTCTGGATGTGAAATCATTAATTTTCTAATTAATGGCAATTTTGACCAATATCCTGATAATTTTTTGTCAAAATGTGCCATGTTATACACAATTTCAATATTATGAATTCTACAATAATCAATCTTGTTCTTTATTGACTTTAACAAATAATAATCCCCAATTGAGTTGTCACAAGGACTTGGAGGTGAACCCGTTACCTATTAAGAAGAAAAAAAAACTTCATAAACATATATATGTGTCTGTTCAAATTTGATTAACTAAACTTAAATTACGTCATTTATCTAAATAACTAAAACTTTTAAATGAAAATATTACAAACTATCTAACATTACCAGCAAAACGCGAGGCTTTCCATTTATATAGCTTGGAAATCGTGGATTTTCATGCAACCAAGTTTTTCTTGTAGAATTCCAGTTGTTGATTTTCGGACCTAAACTGTAGGAAGAATTTTGAGGATATTCAAAATTATCATCATCATCGTTATCATTATCATCATATCGGATCTGAGCAATGATCCGATTCGTTTCTTCAACAAGTTTTTGGTTTTGGTCTAGGGAGGGACTATTAGAGGAGAAGTTGTTAAGGCCTATGGTACCACGTAACACTAAGATTGTTACAATTCCACATAAGATGGTGAGCCTAATGTTAATGAATGAATTTGCGACACGTCGACGATGTGAGACTGAGCGGGCCCCAGCGCCATCGTTGGAGGATGTGGGAAGGGCGGCACTGGCGCCCGCTGAGGTGAGCCTCTTGAGGGCTGTGAATTGGACCATCGTCGTTGGAATTAAAGTGATGATATGAAATTGAAAAGAATTATTAATACGATAGATATAATAGTATATGATTGACAATATTGTTTATTATGGAGAAAAACGTGCAGGGATGTTCTCGTTATATGACATGCAAAAGAGTGCTATACATATAATTGTTTTTTGTTTTTCATTTGGTGTCTAAAGCTCACATTTGAGCTCAGATTAAATTTGAATGGCGCTCTGCAGAGTCCATTTGGGGATGGCGCTCTAAACAGAATTTTCTCCATTCTCAGGATTCCAACTCGAGACCTCTGATTAATTACTGGTGATTGATGAAGCACTCCACCAATGCACGACAACTCATATATATATATATATATGTATATATATATATAATATTTCTATTTTCTTTTTCCTTTCCATTATATATATATATATATATACATATATAATTGTTCTATTTTCTTTTTCCTTTCCATTATTTCATCAAACGTTCCTTGTGTCATTAATTACAATGAGATTTATTATAAAGCAAATGTGTTGAGATGTATAAGCTTCAATTATCTGAATAAAGTTTATAAGAAATATAAAAAGGGTAAAGGTAAAAGTTTCAGTGTAATTTTTTGCATAAATTTTTAATTCATATGTAAGACCTATAGGATATTAATCTAGTAGAGATAAAAATGAAATTTTTTGTTGTGGTGAAAGAATATTTATATAAAGAGAAAATGGTCAAATTCCTTCTTAATCTATAATAAAATTTTCAACTACACATTTATATTTTATAATAGTTCTATTACCCCCATTTCTTCGTAGACACCCCAGCCCCACCCTAATCTTCCATAACCACAAATTAAATCTCATTCCAAGATATATGTCAACACTTATCACCTCTTTTTCGGGTCAAAGAAATTATAAATATTTATCAACAACATCAGTATCGCAACAACAATTTCATCAATTCATTCAGATCAACCCCTTCAGTCTCACACACAAAATTTGCAATCTTGGCACCAATTTTAAGTTTGAAGTTCTTGCTAATCGTCTTGGACTTGAGTAGTACAACTATGCCCTTTTGAATGCTTCTTTCAATGGTGAAGGATTTATGCCTCTTAAACTTGAGGAGATAATTTGGATTATCAAGGTTGAGCTTAATCGACTAGTTATTGCTGCTCAAGTTTCTAAAATCGTTGACGTAGTTTAAATTCTTTATCGAACAATAACGGAGATTAGAGATAAGATCTAAAGGTTGATAAGTTTTATTAGACTTAAGAGATTAAACACGATTTAATTTTTCCTTAATTTTATTCATAATATGAGTAATAATTTTAATGCTTATTTGGTGATTTTGGTGTATTAATGCTTATTTGGTGATTTTGATGTTTGTGAGTAAATAGTGAGACAAATAATGAGAAAGAATTACAAGATGGTGAAGAGATGGGCTGCTAAGGTAATGAACAAGTGGTGTTTCAACAATGGTGATGAAGAACATGTACATGTAGGGTGATTTTTTTGAGTGATGAGAACAAAAAAAAAATAGAAAAAATTAAAGAACAAACAAAAGTAAAAAAAAAAATTATATGTAAAAAAAAGTCAAATTTTTTTAAAATATCTTTTTATCAGTTTTTTCAACTTTCAAATGCCTTAAGAGAGTGAGCACACTATCTGTGTCATGTCAACACTTAAGAGTGTATTTATATCACTTTAAAATAATTCAAGGAGGTAATAGGACCGCCGTAAAATATAAGTGTGTAGTTGAGAATCCAGTTATATATTGAAGATGTATTTGACCAAAATGTATATATAATTTATCAGTTTGATTTGATTATTTTTAATCAATTGTTGTTATTTGTAAACTTTTAAAATCAAAGAAAATCCAAAATAATATATACTTATTTATTTAAGAGAAAATTAGTTATATAAGCAAATATATATTACCCCCTCTATTCCTAATTATTTGTCCACTTGTAAAGTTGCACACCTATTAAGAAAATAATTATTGAAATAGTGATTTTTTTATTTTACCCCTATTAATTATGAAGTAGATGAATTAAAAACTTAAGATTTTCAAAAAGTTTTACCTTTTTCAAAGTAATTAATTGAGGTATAATAGTTTTGAAAAAATATTTTTTTATTTGTCAAAAAAAACAAATAATTAAGAATATCTATAAAGAAAATGTAGATAAATAATTAGAAATAAAGAGAAAAGTTAATTAATTAATATAGATATAATTCACCTAATCGCTGCTCAAACAACGCCTCAACAACACTTCATAAAAAAAAAAAAAAGTTCCCAATGTCGATGTCAAGGTCAAATCCAAGGCCATATAAAAACCTCACGTATATATATTGCTATGCAAAATCATGGTCAGCCAAGCCAGGCTGATGATGCAGGAATTAATAATATCTCTGCATGGGTTGGAAGATCTGAGGCCAGTAGTTTGATGCTATGAAAGAGATTGTCTCGAGAAAAGAAAAATAGGGGAGGTGACTAATAATTTGGAGGATTCTAATATTTATTGATAAAGTTAAATTATAGGCAGCTAATCAATTGAGATATGAAGATTTTCAAAATAAGTAAGTAATTAATAGTGAGTATAAAATGTCAAAATTTACTATCTTTTGTTGTAATGATAAAATAATTATTAAATAAAATGAAGAAATATATTTCAAAAAAATACTGAATAAATAAAATTAAACAAAAGGGGGGATAATAATGTAATTTCAATAATAAATAAGAAGATACTGAAACTTATACATAAATTTGGCATTTGTCGATTGCGTTTTATGCCTTATTTTCTTAGCTTTTTCTGTTTAGACATCCAAAAAGAGGTTTTCAAGTTTTCAACGATATAAATCTTTTTTTAAGAGACAAAAGATAAAATTGTGGGTCGAAAAAAGAAAAAATAGGGAAAGGGATTAACAATTTAGAGAATCAAAAATCCAACAATAAAGTTAAATTTTAAGTTGTTAATCATTTGAGATACGAAGATTCAGAAAACAAATAAGTAATTAATGTTGAGGATAAAATGTAAAAAATAATTATTTTTTCTTGTAATGATAATTGTATTAAATAAAAGAAATAAATATATTTTCAAAATGGTGAACAAATAAAATTAAACAAAAAGGGTAATAATGTAATTACAACAATAAATA